TAAGAGCATTGTGCAGTTTGCTGTGGTCACATTGGGTTTTTGTGTTATATAATGTAGTATATTATCGTGGTGTCACTTGCACACGAAGCCTCTATACATCGTTACGTGTAGTTCAGATTATTAATGCTAATTCTTCTATAGATGATTTAGCTACATACTGCATGGTTGCCCGGGGCTCTGTGTTTCTGCCAATTTCCTTAGTGATGCTAGCATAGAGAAGCAGAAAGCACTGATTTAGGAAGTGTGTCAGTCCTTCCTAAGAACTTGTGCATAACTAATCCCGTAAACCCATTGATCACTGACGCAAGCCTTTAGACATATCGAGATATCGATTACAGATTCTTAAAGATGCTTATTTAGCATACAGGGCTTTCCCTTTTAACTGCAGCTTAGCACATGACCTAAACAGAGGCCTATTTCCAGCCTATAAATGCTTCATTAAGACCTGACCCACATGAACACTGCTAATACTGGTACTCTCATGAAATCATATCAAAACCCAAGTTCTGAAGGTTCATTTTGGGCATCAGAATGGATGTAGGAAAGGCAATGCCAGTTGACCCACAAGTTCAGGCAGGCCCCAAAGTCAAGCTCTGCTGCAATCCCAGCAGATCAACTGATCTCAGTGCCAGCCCACAATCAGCTGATAGTTCAGCTGATACATTTCTATGAAGCCACACAGGGCACACTATTTAACCTTGTGTTAGCCCGCCCACAATTGCTGCACATCTGTGGGTCACTTTGCAGCCCATCTTTCATTTCTGATTCATTGGATTAAAATCTAAAGGGTTTAGGTGAAGTCTCATGCATTATGTATGCATGTCTCTATAATCTCCAAATACATTATGTACTCCTAGAGTAAATTAACCTGGTGTTATGAATAGTGCAAGCCCACCTAAAAAGGAACCAAGAGTTTCCCTTTGAGTGGGACCAGTTTGAAATTTTACTTTATCTCTGGTTTTGCAATTATTCTCACTTCTAATTGATTCAATTTAAGAAAAGCTCCTTTCTCTAAGATCCCAGAGGACTGACATTTTACATGTGTTTGCATGTCAGAGATTCCTTAACTTTAAAACGTAACTATAGATCATGATAACATCTTGTATCATGCCGTTTTCTGAGTGAGGACAGTCCAGCTATGTTGTATTGAAGTTTCACCAGTAGCGCAGACACAGATCCCACAATATTTATCTTAAAATGAAATTAAACAATATAATATAAAGAAGTAAGAATATCGCACTACATTTTTAAAAGAAGACTAACAATTAGATGAGCGTTGTTTATTGAAGCTTGCATATTCTGCATTCTTTCCAGCCGAAGTGGAACTCTAACACAACACTTTTATGCTGATTACAGAAAGTTAAACACTTGCATTAATAATTTTTTTAAAGAGTCAAGTAATTGAAGGAGAAAACTAATTTGGATTATTTTTTTTCTAAATCTCTAATTGGCAGTAAAGACATTCTGATTCTGGTATTAGTGAATTAAACATACTGCAAAGGTATCAATGTCATTACTGCATGAAAAGAAAAATTACATGGTCACCAGATACCTGTATTTATGAAAAAAGTATTTAAATAATTGATGCAGCATCAGTAATTCTAAATAACGCATTGATCAATGTTGATTAGTCAAAAATTTCTAATTATTTAATACAAAAATAAAGTTAAAATACTATTTGCTAGTCTACAGTGTAATTCGAGAGTGGACTTAAAAATTAGCTCTCCCTCAAGAGTGACAAAAGAAAACAATAACACTGTGGACCAGTCACAGTTTCTTTATTAAGCTGTCCTCAAGTGAGATCCCCTAAAACAGCTAAAACCAGGAAGTAGAGTAGTTGAATGATTTATATTGTGAAGTTGAAGTTCACTTCAATTCAGTTTAATTGCAGTCTTATTTACACGACGACACTTGCCTAAAAGCACTTTATATGGTAAAGTAAAGACTCTATAACTCCTCCAAGATGTGTTAATCAATCTGGATAAAACTTGCTATATAAACTCCCTATGGGACCAGGATCATCAGTGTCTATGCAGCAATATTTAGTGGAGCGTGTGTGTCTGTGATCAAGTGTTCATCAAACAGGTATTACAATGGTACTTGTAACTGATTACTTGGCTTTAAACATAAAATATGTAGCTTACAAGAACAATAAATATGTATTTATTATTCATTTTTCATCTCTTGTTGTTTATGAACAGCCATTTTTGCCAACTGATTACAGGCTACTTATTCAAGTGTGTGTTTGGGTTTATAAAAAGTAGCCTGCACTACTTTGTAAAAAGTGAAGCTGTCAGTGTTTTATTTTATTTCCAGAAGTCAATACCAATAGGGCTCTCCAGTTGCAGTCTTTTAAAATTGTTTTGTATCTTCATGATGTTTGCCTATCAATTTTTTTGCCTTGGAACAGTCAGTCTCCTATGTACGTTCTCCATCACTAGAACAAAGTCTTCATCTTAAATCGTTCGAAGAGGCAATCCTGTCCGATCCATTTTGCTATGTCTAGCTCTGTTGTTCTTTAGTGCTACGTCTGTACTTTGAAGCACTTACTTGAAATATTGCACACCAGCTTCATTTGCACTCAGTGACTGTCCTTGTCATTGGAGGCTTTCGATATCTGTGAGACTGAATAAAGTTGTTTGTTTTTAAATCAATTTCTTCTGACTTTTTATTCTCTCACCCACTCCCTTCTCTCACGTACACACACAAAAGTTGTCTCTGTTCTTCTGCTTCTTCCTCTCATCATATATCTTGCTATAAGTATGCTACACTTATTTAAGTATGTGCTCATCTTTTTCATCAATATTTGTCTTAATTTGAAAAAAAAAACTATTTCATTCACTACATGTTGAATGTCAGTCTTACAATCAAAGTGCAGCAGTGCTTTATATATGAAATATGTAATAATTATATTTCCCGCAATATCGATCGATCGATCGATCGATATGGAACTTTTTGGATTGTATTAGAGATCAACTTCTATACCTGCTGCCAGTTAGAAGATTTTTTCCTTAAGTGGTAGTACAGGAATCAAGAACCAGTTTTTGTAGAGAACCAGTTCCCAGTAGTCTACTTCCGTGGAATTGTTAGTCGTCTTTGTTCCTGATCCAGTTTATCCCACTTACTTGCACTGACACAATCAGCTGATTTCAGTTTGTATGCTGGAGGAGAAAAATAGTGGCACATTCTACAGCTTGGATATGGATGTTTTATTTTTATTGCAGAAAAGGAAGAGAGGACGATGGTAAAGTGAAAACTGCATTCAGGACAGAAACAACTACATTATACTGCTAAGTCAACTTCGACTTTTTACAAGCACCTGTACAGACAACATGCTAATGCTAAGTTAGCCAAGATCTCATAGTGACATTAAATCTGAGTGAATGCTGACCCCACCCCAGCAACCAGACCCTGAAGCACAACAGGAAACTAATGGATGAGCAGTCAGGCTGCAGCCTCTGTTTCTACCTGTTCACAGTTCTACAGCAGAATGACTGTTGAGATCACTTTGAAGTCTCTTTGTGCTGGTTTTCATCTTTCGGTGTGTGTTGTTGGCTTTATGTTCCTACCTAAATACTGAGAGAAAGATCATATGTGTGTTCTCATTAGGACAGGAATTTGTGTTAGTGTGTGAGATTTGACCACACAGCATCTAATTAATTTGCATGAATGTAATGTATTTGATATGCTGCTTGGAGATGGTGGTGACTCTCATAGTTGCACCAGTGGGAACCCAATAAGAATTGATAATTAATCAAATTGATAAGCAATACAGATAATGCAATTGGAATCTCTAAATTCTTATCATTTCCCATTCCCAGTCCATGAACTGGAGGTTAAACTTAAGCTTATGTATTTAAGGACTAAAAATGTGTAGCCAGCCAGAAAGGACATCAAAGATGACTGACCTGGCTTCTTTTTTACTACACCTTCCACATTTCCAAATCTGAAAGAAACAGTTAGAGAATACTGCTCTTTGAACAGCATGGAAAGCTGTGCTTACTAATTCAGAAAAAGAAGAAGAAGAGACTTCATGGATGGAAGGATTGTGGTAAAATAAAAATAAAAAAAAGTATCAAAAGGTATTTCTATAGCACATAAAATACAACAAAGTTGACCAAAGTGCTTCACAGTCGGTCAGAGCAATAGCATAAGACAGAATAAAAAAAAGAAACAGTTAAAAGGAGGGCAGAAAACAATATGACAATTGTTTGAAACAAAAACTAGCCATGAAATAACATACTAGTTTGAATCAAAAGCCAGACTAAAATAATAAGTTTTAAGATGCAATTTAAAAGACTGGATGGACTCGGAGGAACGAATATAAGGAGGGAGGTTATTCCAGAGTCTGGGAGCTACGACAGCAAAGGCCCGATCACCTCTGGACTTCAGGCAAGACCTCGGTTGCGTCCGGAGCATTTGATTGGAAGATCTAAGTGCCTTATTAGGGATAATAAGGCACAGTTATTGAAGGGAACGAAGGGCAGTTATTGGTCACTGAATATTTATTATTTATATTTATTTTGAATTTTTTCTGAATTCACTAAAAATACTTTCAAGTTCCCTGCAACATAAATTGCAACAATTTGTAGATCAAGGAAGTGCAACTCAAAAAGTATTTGCTTTTGGAACTGTACAGTGCATAAAAGGATAAAGTCCAGTTTTACCTTTTCACATTATGGTCTTACTAATAGTACAGTGACTCCCTGAGCTGTTCCTTTGTTTTAGATTTATGTCATGTTAGAAGTAACAAATATATTGCACATATGGCACATCTTCTCGTAACAAATGCCACAGATTCAAACAACTGGCAGAAACGTCTTAATAATTTTAGAAAATAATTAAACTTAACTTGATTCAGCACAGCACTTTAGGTGTTTTTCAGTGGTCCCAAATGCAGGGTATCAAAACTCTAATTGAATCTAATCTAATCTAAGGTGTGCAACACTACACATAGGCACACGGAGTTGCTAACTCTCTTACCTTCTCTGTTGATCCAGGACTGAAGGTGCGTGAAGTGATGATCAACGTGTCACGCCAGCAGGTGGAAGATTTCCATGGCCCCGAGGACTACTGGTGTCTCTGTGTTGCCTGGAGCCACTTGGGCACATCCAAGAGTCGAAAGGCTACTGTTCGCATCGCTTGTGAGTTTGCAACTCTCCCCTAAGATGTGAAAATTTAGGGCATGAATTTTCAAGTTTATGTAAAAGAGAAATGGTATAAAGACTCAAAGTTTTAACAGCAAACTTGTGACTTTAGTTTTGGCTTGCAATCTTGATTGCAAGATTGAATGAAATGACTGAATAAACATACAACATATTTTAGAGAAGATGTTCATTAAACACAAAAGAACTATAGATGATAACCAATCGTGCATATATGACTCTTCCATTTTATCTCAAAATCAGTCCTTTTCCTATACTGCAGGGTACTTCATGATGCTATAGATGTCACCACATTTGGTCCATAAATATGATTTATACTTTTATTTTGAGGGCATCTCCTCCAATTTACACATCAAAGTGTGTGCTGGGGAGTGCAAGTGCATATGTGGAAAAGGGGCATAAAGGCTTTTCTGTCTCCAAAGGGAGCCATGTGAAGTTTGATAAATGTGATGATACTTGTGTCAGCATTGTTTGTGGGAGAAGACTGCAAGATTGAAAATGAAAAATAATCTGGGGGTGTGGAGTTAGAAGAAAGGGGATTTACTGGGGCTCATCTCTGCTTGAGGCTAGAGGATAAGGATATATTAGCTGCTACTACCTTGACACAATGAAACCTCTGAGCAAACTGCCAGTGGTACCCAGGGTTTCTGGGTATTGTAGGCAAAAAGATATGTAAAGCTAAATCAATGGAGAACTCTTTAAATGGTTCTTGTAATGAGCTGCATGTTGACCCTGATAAGACCCATGGACTAAAACAAAGTTTACAAGTATACAAACTACACTGCACAAGTTCAGCTGAGAAATGTAAAGGCTTGAACCTGCACAGACATCCAGCTGTTTCTTTGTCACTAATAGATCAACGGATAAAAGAGAGATGACATAAAGTCCTCAAGCACATTGAATTATAGTATGACTAGCTCTCGGGTACTGGAAAAGTGATTTTTCCCCACATAGGTCTGTGTGATAGCTTTATAATGACATCAAATGACCACTCAGACCTCTCTGACATATGATTTACAGCATCTGTTCCCAACAAAGGACAACAACCCTGTTTCATTGGACCAAAATCTGTGACCATGGCAGCAAAAACTTTTTATCAAATGAATAATTAATTCCCACAAAATAATATTGTCTAACCAAGTGGGATGCTTTTTTTATTTACAGCTACTGGTGTCCAGCAACCAATACTGTTTTCAATTTTTAGAGCTCAAATCTGAAGGTGTGGAGTGAAAAAGACATGTATTTGGCAAGGTTCATGTCTACTTGACACTGCTATGCTGGTAGAGGTAATGCCAGGATAACGTGAACTTCTGATGGAATCGTGGGCTGTATTCAGAACAAGCACAATGGCACTCACAGTCCAAGTTATGAAGCTTCAAGCTGAGTGCTTTTAATGTTGGTATTTGTAAATGAGAAGGGACAAACAAGGAGTGGGCTTCACTGAGAAACTGACAAACCACACTCTGCTTTGTCCTGGTTTTTGAGACTAATTAGAACAGTAGTAGCTGAATTGCTCTGTGGGTAATAAGGGCTCCTTTTTCAAAGAAAGAGATTATTTCATGCTAGCTTAGTGGCCCATTATGTTAGCAAACAAAATTATAACCTTCAATCAAAAGTGATCTATTTTTTTGTTAACACTGGTTAAAAAGCATAGAAACACAGAAATACTGAGAGGTTCTGCTGAAAATGTACTTCCTTATCTTATAGTAAGACATTTCAGAGATTCACTGTGTAGTTAAAGGAGAGTTTCACCAGTCTGGCCCAACTGAGGTCAAAGTTTGCTGTATGTAAAGTGACTCTGACATTGATTTATTTATGCAGGCATGTACTCCAAGGGTCTATATATTTAAAAAAAAATACTAGTTAATACAGCATTATAATAACATGACCATGTTATAACAAAATATTTGTGTGTCTCATGTTTTATTCAAGTTTTTTTAACCTTTGGTCCATTTGCTTACTTTATTTAAAGCAGTCTCTGAAGAAAATATTGCACACTCCAACTTCAAAGTTGTAGCGACCAGTTGTATTTAAATAATGCCATATAACAAATTAACAAAACTATCTGGCAAATGATTTACAGTGTCTGTCCCCAAAGAGAGCGGAGTGTACAGACAACAGAGCCCTCTCCTTGGACCAAACTGTGCGAGCGCAACAAGCTGATTTTATCTTGAATTTGATTTTTTAGCAATGAAATAATCAATTCCCAACAAAATGCTCTCAAGTTAGACACAATCAGCTACTTTCAACCACTCCTGTCTGAGACCAATACTGCTGCATGTCAGTAACCTCTAGTTAGAGGTTACAGAATCTGTAAGCCAAGCGAAAGTCAAAATAAATTAAATACAGTAAGAAAGCAACATATTTCTTTTGTCCTTTTGAGAGAAAAAAGAATATGTTTGGCGAATGACAGTAACTGTCGAGCTCTTTATCTACTGAGATTTGGGTGTCACTGTGTTTGCAGTCATTTTACACTGAGTGTAGCTGCCAGCTGAACTGAGGTTTTGACTGCAGGCTCAACACCTTCCCTCCTGTATGTGGATCTTTTACATGCAAGCAACCTCTTGTGATCCCAAGGGTTCATAAAAACCCATTCATAACTGAAGTGAAAATTTCAAAGGCACATTCCTGCTTTATGTTTTAACTGGTTTTCAGTGAATAGCTGCAGCGCAATAAGCTATCAAAGGCAGTTTGGAAAATGGGCCGAATAGGATCTGTCACTATTGTATGCACATGAGTGCCCAGGACGATCATAGCAATCCTGCTCACTTCATCCATCCAGCATATCCTTCAAACCACCTTGTTAACAGATTACCCAGCACAGGGCCATTGGATCCTTTCTATCGTATACAGGCTACATTGGATTTTGAAGGTCGTGGTGTGCAGAGCCAGTGGGGCAAGCCTGCGTGTTAGCTGCTAAAGGGAATTGAGGCCAGGCTGACCATGACACTTGACACCTGACAGCAGCCTCTTATCTCCCCATACAGACCTGAGGAAAAACTTTGAGCAGGACCCCCAGGGGAAGGAGGTGCCAATCAATGGGATGATCGTTCTGCACTGTCGTCCTCCGGAGGGAGTGCCCGCTGCAGAGGTAAGTCCGCTGCTCCTCAGCTCCGCCTGTCCCACAAGAGAAGAAGCTTATACTCCCACTGAGCAGAAAACATACGCATCAGAGCGGATACTTATTCTGTGAGAGTAGCTCTGTGCCACTCAGAAAGTCGATTCTACCTTCAGCTCCTCTTTCTCTGACCTTTAAGAGATTGATATAGTTGTGTTTAGAAACTAGTGATAAGTGCACATAAATATTTGGACACAAAGGCACTGGCTTCAAAGTCAGCTAGACACCTCCTGATGAAGAGGATTCACAATATAGCTTTAAATCCAAACCTCTATCCACAATGTTGTCAATAAGATCTACACATCAGCCTTTCACATGTTCTCTTAGCCATGCAAACCAGAAACATCTGGCTTCAAATGCAGAAGTGGGATGTTGCTCCCTGTCCTCCTGGATTCTGTTGTTTGATCTGTCAGCTTCTACTGCGTGCTCATAAAAGGGTTGATTGTGCCTTGCGGTTACTATATGGATATTCAGGATAGGGATTGCACCACTGCACCTAAGAAATTATTTACAAAGAACAATGGATATTTTTCACTTGTCTGTTATCTGGGCTGAGTTTATTTACATGCACATCGTGTCCCATTTTCTCCCTCAAAGTCTGTTCCTGGGGAGGCTCATATATCACAATTACCATGAGAAACTTCATTAGTTATGGCTTTGATATGATCGCGACCTCTGATCTTCCGCAGCTTTCATTAGTAAATCATAAGAAGACATATGCACCATACTCCAAGAGACAAAAGTAAATCTTTCTTTTCCATATAGCTCGAGTCTTTCTCAAACAAAACTGTCATATTGGTACCAACTGTGTTGTCTTTCTTTGTCATGAATAACGACATAGTTTGGTTTCTAGCGGACGTAAGTCTCATACAGCATTTATCCCTTCTAAAGCTGAGCAATTGCCAGTAGGGCCAAGAACACATTCAGGTTTTCAAGGGTAAGTTCATATCATACCTGTATATCATCTAAAGATTGGATTTCATCCATATTACAAACTCCTGATCCACATTATTTGTTACATTTACTTCAGCATGCAGATTATCAACATGTTTTACTGACAGCAAAAAATCTCAAGACGCGGTCACAGCAACAACTTGGCTTTATGTCTTATGCATTTCATCATCACGTTAAACTTTCTTGACACAGTAATCAAAGTGAAACATATATATCTGCTAATTACTTTTTATGAGTTTAAGCTCAAGAGCACATCACGACCGCGTAGGTGTTCTGATAAGATTTGATTATCTGTATTTATGCTATAATTAGATAGCACACTGACTGCCATCAGATCCTTGCTATGTAGGTGTGGTGTAATTACAGTTTTGTTTCCACCAAATGTCCACCAAAACCATAACCACTTATTAAGTTAGACCTTTTTTTTATTCTAAGCAGGTGCTTTTATCACAGATACAAGGCCTTGGCTTAATAATCAGCCCATCAGTCATAGTAGTTATTGTTGTGTTGTGTCAGTAAGAGCAGATTTCCCTGATATAGTCACCTCAGGTGTGCTCTAGATGCGAGCACAACAGTCGCACCCATACTCTTTCTTCTGAACCTTCTGTTTATGAGGGGCAACTAATCTGAACAAAGTTGCCTTAAAAGAAGTTGGGATGGAGTTGAAAAGGCTTGTTTTAAGGTGAGGATGAATAGGGGAACTGCACCAAGTGTCAGTATATCAGAAAAAAGGATTATTTGAACTGTGTATCAAGCAGAGCTACTCTAAGATCCACAGAGGATGCCATCGCCCACGTCCTACACACCACTCTCAGCCATGTGGACAAGAAACAGGGTAACTATGTGCGAATGCTGTTTGTTGATTACAGTTCAGCGTTTAACACAATAG